GAAAAGCCTGAGTGGACCATGGGACCCTAACCAGAGAAGCAGCGACACCAGAGATGGAGGCAGAGATGAGGACATGGAGAGATTGAGCAGTTGAGGACTCTAGACTCATGGAAAGAGAAAGGCTGTGTGCTGGCAGCTAGGAGGCAGGCTTGCAGAATGTGCCCTTTGGTTATTTAAATGATTATTTAATCCTGAGTGTTTTTGTGTACATTGAAAAAAAAAAAAAAGAATGGAAGCAAATACTGTTAAATGATGATGCATAGAGGGGATTGTAATCATTGCAATGAAACAAAATACAATAGCATGAGTGCAAAACCGATGTTCTCCCATGTAAACTACCACTCAATTCACAATAAAAGCCTTAAACTAAAAAATAAATAAAATGGAAAAAAAAAAAAAGATTTCCCCAGAGCAATAGTTTGGAAGAGTCATTCAGCCTCAGTGGCTCCAGGAAATCTGGGTTCCATAAGAATTTGAAGATCTATTCCACCTTTTCCCACATTTCAATCTTCTATAGAATCTTTTGTTATTATTATTATTATTATTTTAATTACAAGTCAAATTCAAACTCTTGGGCTCAATGATCATGAGTTACAACGTAGAATGGAAAATCACTTTGCCAGTATTTAATGGCACAGGAATGAGTCCGGATATTGTAGCAACAATATTTCCAAATGCACACGAGGTGTGACATGACCTCATGGGAAACGTGTACTGAACAACTGCAGGCAGAAAATACTCAGTGATCATCTCTGAGTGACTGTTGCTACTCATAGTAGATTCCAACTCATAGCAACTGACCCACGTGTGCAGGGCAGAACTATGTTCCATGGGGTTTTCAAGGTAGAGATCAGTAGATCCCGAGGCCTTTCTTGAGAAATTTAAACCACCAATCCAGTATCCAAGCACTTCACTATCTGCGCCACCCGGGGGCTACTAGGGACACAGATCACAAACAGTGTGTTTTCAATTTCCTTTGCTTCCGTTTTGCACAGGACACTTTTTTTTTTTTTTTTTAACATCGTGTCGCTTTGCAGGTTGACCCGTCCTTTTAATCCGTGAAAAAGTATTAAAAATGCAAACTTTCTCTAAATGGCAAACTGTTTCAGGAGAAAAGACCTCCCCCAAGGGCTCGGGCAGGAACGAGAGCTGTGTCCCTAAGGCTTACGCTGAGGCCTCGTGGATGTCGATCCCGTCGTAGACACCGCAATCAGACAAAACCAGCGCGACCCCGGAAAGCAGCGTGGAGCCGTGAAGGGCCGCTCGTGGGGAGATCGCCCACCTGCCCAAAGGCAGAAGCCGCAGGCGGCCGGGGAGTGACGCTAGAACTGAGGCCATGGCCAAACACGGTGACACGACGACCCTGACGGCCGCCATAGCTGTGAGCGGTACAGCGGGCTTTAGGAGGTCGTGCAGCAGTGGGCGTGGCCGCACCTGCGTAAAAAGCTTCTATAGAAACTGATCAAAACATTAAGTAATGGTCATAGGGCACCATTCAGTTCTGGTCTCATGGCAAGAGAGACAGCTGTTCATTGAGGCAATTAGACATGGACAATAACATTATCTTAATTTGTAATGGCTATGATTGGCTCACTCGTATCCCTGCCTCCAACCTCTCCCCCATCCATTCCATTCTATACACTGCGATTAAAATGACCTTTCTAGGACACTTCCGTGCTTGAAACCCTTAGGAGACTCCTTCATGCCTAAGGACAAATCCCAGCTACTTAGGCTCATCATGACCATGCCTCTGCCAGCCCATCTGTCTCATGTCATGTCTCACAAAATTTCCAAGTTCTCTCCAGCCTACGCACCTTTGTCAATTTGCTTCCTCTTCCTAGAATACATCCCTTTCCTGACTATTTCTATTTGCTCTTCAGAGAAGTGCAAGCATCATCTTCCCACCAACTCTAGGAGGTCTCCCCCAACCATCCCAGTCCCAGGCTGGTTTAGGTGTCTTTCTCAGATGCTCTTTTATCCCAGGTATTCCTTTATCCAAGCACTTTTCATGCAAAGTTGTTCTCATCCAACTCTTGACTATATCACACACAGCACTACTAGCTCTTTATCAAATACTGTATCTGATTTGCCTTTGTAGTCCCTGTGTTCAACATAGACCTGACACATACATGCATATAAATGTCTCTTGAATGAATTTATGAATAAATCAGATTTTGAGTAACAGAAAATGATATTTTTGATATTCACCAGTACCTCAGTACTGTTGATTTTTACAGTAAGCAAATACAGATGAATTTACACAGATTAAGGTCAAAGGCATTTAGTGTTTTAAATATAAATAAATAAACGGAGCACTCTTAATTAAATAGACTGTGTGTTCTACTTCTATTTACTGCTTGCTAACAGGAGTCCTGGTGTGGCTGTGGGTTAATGCGCCAGACTACAAAGCCATTTGAACTGTAAGGTTGGCGGTTCAAGCTTACCAGCTGCTCCTCAGAAACCCTATACAGGGTCGCTATGGGTCAGAATTAATTTGATGGCACTTAAAAACAACCACAGTTATTGAGGGATAACTCTGTACCAAGCACCATTCTAAGCATATTACATGTATTGACTAACTGGATCCTCAAAACATCTCCACTTCATAGATGAACAAATTAAGTCACAAAAAGGTTAAATAACTTGTCAAGTAAGTGGCTGAGCTGGGATTCAAACGTGGCAGAGCCAATGCCTTGAACCACTGTACCATATTGCCTGCTGTGATCATAATTATGCAGAAAAAGTGTGAGTGTATAGTAACCTCATCCATTGCTGCCCACAACCTCAATTTTCATTTAAAATTTTTCTTCTTAATTTGTAAACCTCCACCTTTAAAGACATTGAGCTACCAGCATCACATGATATTTGAGGATTGTTATTTTTGAGAATTTCTCTGATGAACTTAAAAGACATCTTTGTAACCAACTCTTGTAGTCAGTTCCTAGGAGGAATCAACCATGTGCAGTAGGTGGAAGTTTAATGGTATGGACTGCTTTCCTTTAGAATTAACTTTCCCGCATCCTAAGTACATTGCTGTTTAAAGTTGTGAAACCTATTTGTGAGGTTGTATTCTTTTTTTTTTTTTT